GCTGCTGGCTTTTTTTTCCATAGGTTTGGCACCTCTGCTGGCTTTTTTTTTCCATAGGTTTGGCACCTCTGGCTCCAGGAGACTTGAAGGGCCGTTGCTGGGAAGGGACAAGGGTTTATTAGAGTTTTGGGGTGTTACTCTCCCATCGCACGTGTTCAGGACCAGCCTTTCTTAGTTCTGCTTCTGGCAGGGGCAAACACTGAGCGGAAGGGAGTCTTGCAGAGCTTTTGCAGCCTGAGCTAGGAGCAGTTGGTGACCAGTCTGCCCTCCCAGCTGTCCCTCATCAGGGAGGTACAAACTGATTTTCAGAGGTCAGCACTGGTGTAATGACCCCAGGTTACCCCAGAGGCATAGATTTGCTTAACGAGTGTATAAGGGAAGTCCTAGTTCTCTGAGATCATTTAACAAGCCTGGTATTTCTTACATTCTGCCTTTCTGGATCCAGTTACAGTACCCTGTGTGGGCTCTCTCTTTCTTTAGATTCTGCCTTTCTGGATCCAGTACCCTGTGTGGGCTCTCTCTTTCTTTAACTCAGGCCACTTGCACGGCTGAGAAATAAGCACGGATTCTCCATGAATTCCTGCTTGTCCCTTTGTCCTGCCATTGCTCAGTTTTCCTTTGGGTTTACCCCAGAGAGCACCATCCCTAAAACTCTTGGAAGGGAAGTTGTGCAGGGGGGGCATGAGGCGAGGTGACCCACTCCAGGGTCTTTGAGAGGCTTGTGGTGGAAGCCCCATCTCTGTGGCCCTGGTGTGGGGAATGTCCTCTCCAGTCCCGCTGGAAGGTGCTCCTCCATTAATAGCACTGTCTCTGCTGGCTGGCAACCATTTCTGCTCCATGGGCAAGCGGCTCCTCGGCGTTTCCTCCTCCCATGTTGGGCACATGCGACCACAGCATCCCTGCACTGGGAGAGAGAAAGCCCTTTCTGTTGGGTGAGAAGGTCTTTGGGGTTGACAAAGAGAGAGCACCATCCCTAAAACTCTTGGAAGGGAAGTTGTGCAGGGGGGGCATGAGGCGAGGTGACCCACTCCAGGGTCTTTGAGAGGCTTGTGGTGGAAGCCCCATCTCTGTGGCCCTGGTGTGGGGAATGTCCTCTCCAGTCCCGCTGGAAGGTGCTCCTCCATTAATAGCACTGTCTCTGCTGGCTGGCAACCATTTCTGCTCCATGGGCAAGCGGCTCCTCGGCGTTTCCTCCTCCCATGTTGGGCACATGCGACCACAGCATCCCTGCACAGGGAGAGAGAAAGCCCTTTCTGTTGGGTGAGAAGGGGGGGGGGGGAGGTAGGAAAAGGATCCCTGGGCCCAGAGAACAGAGCTCTAATCCTGTGGCAGATAACATCATGTCTGCAGGCTGGGGCTTGTGTGTGTGTTTGGGGGAGCTGGAGGGGCAGAGATTGTTAGGCAGTATTTGTTTGTAAAGCCACTTGCTCTGAAGATAATGCTTGCACTAACTTCTATTGAGGGAGCAGTGTGAGTCCCCACAAAGTCCTTTCCCAAAGTGTCTTTGAAGCCAAGAACCCATTGAAAGGAAGAAAGGGCCGGAGAGGGGATTAGTTTGTTCAGCAGCTGTGAATTTCAGTGGGAGGCTGATGAACTCCAAAGTCTTTGTTGAGATGGTTTTTGTAAGGAGCCCTGCTGGAGGGAGAGACCCACACGGGGGCCGCGGCCTTAGACAAGAAGGAATCCGAAGCGGCGGGGAGCTGTAAACGGGCCACAAGGACTTTTCCCAAACACTTTTCGGAAAAAAGGTGTTGTGAAGAGATCCGAGGGGGATTAGCATGTGAAATGACACTTTCCATTGACTCCACAGAGGGGAGGGGAAAAAGGGCCGGCTGGGCTGATTTATTAGCATTTTGTTCCCTTCTCTATTCTGTTCCCCCTCCTCCCCGAGCCCTCTAAAGAGCTCTGGATTGGAAAAGGGAGCCGGGAAGAGGAGGAGGGGGGGAGATATGGGGAAGGGGGGGGGGAACTGCCTGTTTGTGTGTCATCTGGGCGAAGGTGACCACCTGGGAAGCTGAATGTAAATATTTCTCCTCTGAGGAATGCGCCTTCATTAAACCCGAAATGAATACATGGAAGCATCCAATCCCCCCGCACAATGGCAGCCACTGCCTTTCCAGCTCGGGGGGCTCCTTGTGCCGGGGAGGGGGGGGACCCCTCCGGCCCCGACCCGCTGCTGAGGTCAGCACATTTTGCAGCTGCGATGGCGAGGGTTTTTCTCCCAGGAAAAAAAAAAAAAAGAGGAAAAAAAAAAAAAAAGCAGGCGGGGGGGGGGGGGCTTGGGGGCTTGGAAACCCCCCCCCTTTTGTAACTCCCCCCCAGAGAAAAAAAAAAAAAAAAGGAAAAAAATAAAAAAAAAAGCAGGCGGTGGTGGTGGGGCTTGGGGGCTTGTAACGCTCCCCCCTTTTGTAATGCTCCCCCCTTGTTGTCCCCTTCACCAACAGGAGTCACCGTGCTCAGTGGGGCACATCCCACACCCTCCGTGGGGCAATAATGGCAGCAGGGGAGGGATGGGGTAGCACAGCCTGAGGAGGGGGAGGAAATGGGAAAGAGCTTCCACATCTTCTCCTTTCCATCTTCTCCTTTCCTTAGGTTTCTGGCTGGCTGTGGAATGGGGAGCACCAGAGGGGCAAGGGGCTACCAGGGGTCCTCTCTGCCCTGTGGTGGTCCTCATCCAGCCCACGATGGAGCTTTCCTTGCTGGTGGCTCTCACCACCTCTTTGCTTTCCTGCCCAAGGGTGGGTTCCTACCTCAGGGAGATGGAAGAACTGCTGATGGAGGTGCAGGGGAGACCCAGGGCAGGGTCTGCTGGTGGCTCTCGCCACCTCTTTGCTTTCCTGCCCAAGAGTGTGTTCCCACCACAGGGAGATGGAAGAACTGCTGGTGGAGGTGCAGGGGAGACCCAGGGCAGGGTCACTGCAGGAGTAAGCACCTTTGTGCAAACTGCTGATGGTTTGTGTGTGATGTGGAAGTGGTTTAGGTTTCCCTGAGAATGGGCCGATAATGTTTCTTGCCATTTTTGAAGGGCCAGCTTATTGCTTGGCGTGAACACTCGTCCTCTGGGGAGAGCCCAGCTTGCCCTGGGTCCAAATTCCCACCCCAAAGGAGTAGTCCTTGGATTGTGAGGGTATTTAATAACTTAAGGGACACATCCAGTCTTGCTGAGTGTCTTTAATGTATCATCTCTGAGGAAGGCACCTGGGCCCCCATCTTCCCACCCCCTTTCCTGCAGTTGGATGAAAGCTTGAGGAGCCCTCAGGCCCTTTCCCATCCTGGTAGGGACCAAGGTTGTGCTGTGTGGAGGGAACTGCTCAGCTCTTCTGCTCAACGGATGGGCAAGCAGCTGGGTTTTAGTCTCCAGAGATGCAACTACCTCCCATCCATCCACCCACCCAACTGGATGAAAAAAAAACCCCACCCAACCACTTAGACACAACAGCATTTTGCAAGCACTTGGCTACTGATTTATTGCATTGGCTATTGGTTTACAAATCTTGGCTATGAGACGGGTCTAATGGCCAGTAGCTTCGCTCTGCTGGCTTCTCATCTGGCTAAAGGACACTTCAAACATCACAGCCCGGGGCGGGGAGGTCACCGTGGTGGCGCAGTGAACTTCCCCAGGTCCTCCTGGAGCTGATGGCTTCTTCCCCCCCTTCCCCACCCCAACCCCAACTGGGGGAGGTTGGAGGGGACAGGGATGCATCGACCCGACCTTCCCGCTGCTTGCTGAGCCTATAGAATATATACAACAGGCGGGAGAGGAGAAACTGTTTCTGTATACATCACAGTAACTGTGCAATAAATTAAACTTCAAAGTGCTTCACTTTCCTATTTACAACAGCATTAAATAGTAACTGACATTATTTTCTCAGGCTAGGAGGAAGGATTTAGTTAGTTAGCTGTGGGGTAAGAGTGCTTGGCAAGGACACCGGGAGGTGGGTGAATGGGCTGGGCTGGCACCTCCTCTCTGGGAAAGATTTGGGGGGAAAAAGGGACCAGAGAAGCGTGAGGGCATCTTTATAGCATCATTCAATCAAGGGCTCGGGCAGGGATGTTGGGGTGAGAAGGGAGATTGGACCTGGAGGCTTAGAAGATGCGGAGAAAGGGTGTAAAAAGCAAGTGGTGGGACTTCTCTTTTGGGCAGCAGTTTAATGGGCAGGTCGAGCAGGTGGAGAAAGGGTGTAAAAAGCAAGTGGTAGGACTTCTCTTTTGGGCAGAGGTTTAATGGGCAGGTTGAGCAGCAGCTTCAGTCTTGCTGCTGCCATCTCCAATGCAAAGTAAAGCTCTTGGAGGGCTCAGCAAAGCTGTCAAAGGATGGGAAGCAGCACTGCAGGCCTCCTGGCTTGCTGCAGGAAGGAGTTGTGTGCCTTTTCTATTCCCTTAGAGTGTAGGGCTTAATAAAAGGCAATAACAACTTTATTTTAGTGCCTTTTTTTTTTTTTTTTTTTTTTTCCAGAAGCCTCTTCTGTTTTAGGGATTACCGCTCTGAGTTGCCCAGCTCTGGTGGTGCCATCTTAGCTTCCTTGTGCTTTCCCAACTGTTGATCTCACTTTCTCAAAAGCCCAGAGCAGGTGCTTTTTGGGGGGGGGGAACAGACAAGCTGAAAAGTGGAGACCACCTGTGTCTTCAGCTATAAAAACCCATGGTGACTGGATTTCACTGAATTTCACTGAATTTTTAGAGTTGGAAGGGACCATAGAGATCATCTAGTCCAACTCCCCTGCTAAAGCAGGACCACCCAGAGCATGTCAGATCATGCCACTCAGGACTGCATCCAGGATAGAGTGACTCCGAGTGGAAAGGACCAAATCTCAACAGTTGAGGGTCAACACTTGCTTTTCTCAACACTTGAGGGTCTTCCTAGAAGTCATCACCCACTGTGCTAATGGGAAATGCCCTGGGTGGCCAAGGCTGGGGGCTCATACAAGCTCTTTTGCCTTGCCCAAGCCCCACCAAGAGGGTATTGAGAACGAGACAAAACTGAGCCAAAGGGAGACGGTGCCGGGGGTGGACGGGGAAGGGCAGGAGAGGAGAAGGGCAGAGAGAGAGGACCAAAGGGAGGAAGGAGAGGGGAGTTAGAGCTTTCTCTTGAGCTTGCGGTTGGCCCCGCCGCCGCCCCCGCTCCTCTCCCGCTTCTCCTTGCGGACGCAGAAGTACTTGGTGACCCGTTTGCGGCACTGCTCGCACCGCACGGCGCAGCACCAGTGGAACTTGCAGTTGCAGCTGGAGACCATCTCAGCTCTCCTCTCCTCCACGGCCAGCCCACAGTCCCCGCACAGCCGCCGGCAGCTCCGCTTCTCCCACTTGCTGAGGGCCTTGCCCCTCTTCAGGCACTCCCTGCCCTCCGTCCCCAGCAGCCCCAGCGTCTTGTTCTCCAGGCAGTAGTCGGGAGAGTCTTCTAAATGGACCAGCTCCTTCTTGGAGATGGAGCTGAAGGTCTCGGCGATGGCGCCCCGGCTGGCAGCGCTGTTGCCTGCCCCCTGCAGCAAGTCCACCTTCAGGGCTTTGTGGTATCTCTCCTTGAGGTAGGTGCCCACCTCCCGGAACTCGGGCAGCTGCAGCCAGCAGGTCTGGGTGGTGCAGCTCCCCGACACGCCGTGGCACTTGCAAGTCCTCTTCATGGTCCCTTTCACCGCCTACAGGGTGAGGAGAGAAGGAGAAGGGGGTTCAGGAGAAGGTCCTGAGGGGTCATTTCTGTGCTGGAGACACCTGGCTCCAGACCTATGGAAGGGTTATCATCGACCCTCCCTCCATAGGAGTCCTGCCCGGGGGTTGTTGGCTTCTCCATGGTAGCTTCCCTACTCAAACTGGGAGAAAAGAGGACAGCAGGAAGCCATTAACAGAGTAATCTCAGAAGGTTTGCTACCTTAGAACAACCACCACTTATCGGGTCAGTACTGCTGCCATCCTCTTCTCCTCGGCAAGGTAGTAGTTTCTTCTGGACACATTTTAGTAATGGCAGGTTGTGGCTCTCTCCAGCGAATGGCCAGAGCCAAACTGGTCTGTCCATCGGATCAGTACTGGTGCCATCCCCTTCTCCTCGGCAAGGTAGTAGTTTCTTCTGGACACATTTTAGTAATGGCAGGTTGTGGCTCTCTCCAGCGAATGGCCAGAGCCAAACTGGTCTGTGCTGGCAGGTCTGGAGGGGGGAGAGGGGCTCACCTTTCTACCCGCCTCGTTGTTATGCAGGTTCATAGCAGCTCTGGCGTCTTGTCCTGTCTCCAGGGCATCCACAAACTGCTTGGAAATGGCTTCCCCGAAGCCCACGTTGTCGCTGCAGCCTCCCCACAGCCAGCCTTGCCCCCCTGGGGAAGGAGATGAGAGGTGTGCTGTCAGGGAACCAGCCTTGCTTGAGGGTCCAGTGACAAGAAAGGGTCTCAGAAGTGATGGGATGGAACAGAGGTTGTGGGGCAAATCCAGCCTTTCACCCCACGATACTCCCTGATTCCTTCCCCTCGGGCTCACGCCACGTCTACTGAGGCCTGGACAGTAAGTGGCAATGGAGTAGCAGGTCCTGTGTGACAAACCCAGGGATTTCCAGGCTTTCTATAGAGCAGGATTCAGCAGCTGTTAATTATCCTGCACTAGCAGCTGTATACAATCATAGAATCATAGAAAGGTTAGGGTTGGAAGGCACCTCAAAGATAGATAAGGCTTTGGGTCTTTAATCACCTTCCTTCCAACCCTGACTTGAACTGGTTCAGTCTGACTCATGGGGACAGACTCATAGAAGCATAGAATGGTTAGGGTTGGAAGGGACCTCAAAGATAGATAAGGCTTTGGGTCTTTAATCACCTTCCTTCCAACCCTGACTTGAACTGGTTCAGTCTGACTCATGGGGACAGCATCTTGCTAACAAAGAAGACCCCATTTTTGGTACCCCCGGAATCTTGGGATGATGTTTGGTATCTCAGAAGGGTCTGGTTTTCCAATTATCGTGAAGAAACAAAGGACCTGGCACAGGTCCCCGTGAGAGCACACAGCTCTTGCTACCCACGTGGGAGCTCCATAACCGAGCTGGGGCCGACTAGAAACACGTCATGCCGTTTACATCTTTTTCCTCCTAGAGAAAAATGCCAAATTCTGCATGAAGATTTGAAATATGGAACATTCTGACCCCAACACGCCTCGGCGACCCAGCTCGGGAGTTGTGGTTTCATGGCCTTTGTGCCTCTCTCGAAAGACCCGGCCCTTGACTCCCCCCGAGCATCGTGGTCCCTTCTCCCAGGGAAAGGCAGGGGGGTCTCGTGGGAGGTGGGTAATTATGAAGATGATGAAGAGATTTCTCTCCCAAATCAAGAGCTGGGGCTGGAGGGAGAATGGAAACCTTTCACCAACTTGGATTCAGCGCAACGGAATTTAGGATTGAATCAACACTGTTTTGGACAAGCCCAAAAGTTTCCTTTGCCTTCCGTGGTTTTAAGTTCACGATGGAAAATTTTCATGAAAAACAGATACGTTTGGGGGAAAAGAAGCGTAGCGTGACTAACGCGGTCTTCCAGAGAGGATAAAATTTGGTGTGTCATCGCCCAAAATTCTTGCTCTGCTAGAGGTGGGCTGTCCCACGCCTCCGACACCTAAGAAGCAGTGTTTTAAAACTGTTTTAAAACTATTCGCCAACAGTTTTTAAAAATATTAGCTGTTTTAAAAACTATTAGCCAATAAAACAAATTACTGAATAATAAAACTCCAGAGGAGCTGGTCATCAACTGACACGTACCGACTGCCCAGTGTGGCGGGGTGGGGAAAGGCTTTTAGAACATTTTGCTAATTTGAAATTTGACCTTTTTCCTTTCGAAAGAAAAGAGGGGAATGTCAGTGTTTTCTGTGAAAGCTGAGGGGATGCAGCTTGGGTTTCCCCATCCTGGGGTGCTCAGCAGCTGTGGACCTGGGTGCTGCCATGATGGGGAGGGGGTGAAGGCTGGGTGCTGCCACCCTGACAAACGCTGGAGGGGGTCTATGAATGCCCACCCTGCTTTCCCCCCTGGTCATCCTGCTCTGGGGCCACCCTGGTCCTGCAGACCCTGGTCCCCGATGAGCCCTGCTCTGACCAGACCTGCTGTTTCCATGCACGGCATCAGGTCTTCTCCTCTGCCCGTATGATACGGTCATTCCCTCCAGCAGATTAAACAGAGCGGTTCTTGGTTTGAACCGGGGAAACTGCAAACCCTCTCCTACTTCCCTGCTCATTTAGAAAGTAATGGGAAACATCAAGGGCTCAGCCTCAGCTGGTGCAAATTTGAGGTGGCCCCGTTGGCTTCCATGGAGCTCCTTTGGTTTTGAGCCAGGCAAAGCTCTGCTCGGGGCATTATTTCCAGGTGTGGGGATGGGGAGGAGGAGTTGTTTCTGCAGGGCCTCAGTGGAGGTGAGGAGAAGAGCTAGAAGAGCTGTGGCCTGGGGTGTGAGGAGGGGGCCGGCAGCTGGTCCTTACCCAACTGTCCGTTGCGGGAGTCGTCACAGCCACAGTTGTCAAAATCCCCCAGGCTGCAGTTGCGGGTCAGCGTGTACATGACGCCGGCGGAGCTGATGGCGTGGACGAAGGCGGTTTCTCGGTTTGCTGTCAAGTGGGAACACAAGGAGAACAGGCTCACTGAAGGCTTCACGGACACACCAGGGCTAGAAATGACTCCTGCCATGCAGGAGATGGCCTAGGGAGGGATTTGCAATGGGCAGGGGCTTTGTGGGGTGGAGAGGAGGCCCTACGTGTTGGAGTAGCTTGGTTTTGGCTTGAACTGCACAAAGACAGAAGCTCCCAAATTCGATCCAGAGCGACTCGTGCCATTTTCCAAAGGCGTGGATGAGTTTGGCCCTTGGCTGTCCTTCTGGCAGCTCAGCAGTAGGGACACAGCACAGCCAGCCAAGTGTCCCCCACATCTCACTAATACACCCCAGAGGGGAAGGGACCTTCTCCAAGGATCCAAGACCTCCTTCCTCACTGCCCCCTCGAGCCTTACCTTCTGCTGGACACTGCCAGGGCTCAGAGCGCTGACCATACCTACTGACCAGGACTGGCGTGGTGACCATCAGCTGACTCCACTGAGTCTCTGGCTTTTATTTAATGTCAGCAAAGTCTGGATCTGAGCAGATAATCCTGATGGGAACGGTTCAGGGACCTGCTCCCAGTCCCAGAGTGTTACTTTGTGCTGCAATGAACTCCTCAAGGCCCCATTTTGACACCTCTGTCCACCTCTGCCTGGGGCCCTAGTCACTCATCTTCTGCCAGTCCCACCAGAGGCCTGAGGTTGTCCTCCATACCCAGGTCCTGCCTCTACAGGGCAGGCTCAGCCTGGCAAAAGACTCCTGTCCCATGGAAACTGGGGCTCAGCAGGTCTGGAGGTGATGCTGGCATTGCAAGGCTGCCTTGTGTTAAAGCTAGATGCCAGCGTGTGTCTGGGAGCTGGTGGGTGAAGGGGCCTCCTGGAAAGATCCCTCTGGGATATTCCTAGGAGAGGCACATCCCAGGGGATGGGAAAGAAATCGCAGAATCACAGAATGGTTTGGGTTGGAAGGGACCTTCAAGATCATCCAGTTCCAACCCCCCTGCCCTGGGCAGGGACACCTCCCACCAGACCAGGTTGCTCAAAGGCCCATCCAGGGATGGGGCAGCCACAGCTTCTCTGGGCAACCTGTTCCAGTGTCTCACCACCCTCACAGGAAAGAATTTCTTCCTCATATCTAATTTAAATCTCCCTCTTTCAGTTTAAAACGATTCCTCCTTGTAATGGCTCTCCTCCCTGATCAAGAGTCCCTCCCCATCTCTCCTGGAACCCCTTCAGGGACTGGAAGGGGTGCTAAAGTCTCCCTGGAGCCTTTTCTTCTCCAGGTTGAACAACCCCAACTCTCAGCCTGTCTTCACAGCAGAGGTGCTCCAGCCCTCTGAGCATCTTCTTGGCCCTCGAAGGAAAAGGAGGAGCCCAACCCCAGGGCTCTAACCTGGAGTGAGGGGATCCCAGTAGTGTTCCTTACCGCTGCGCAGCCCGCCATGGCTGGAGAGCTGCAGGGCCCTCTCGGGGCAGTTCCAGCGGTCCCAGGCGAACTGGAACTTGCACTCCTCGATGCCGCTCTGGGCCCCGGCCGCCACGCTGCTGGAGTAGATGAGATAGGCCTAGGAGCAGAGCAGCGGGTCAGAGAGTTGGGCAAAACCGAGTCAGGAAGTGTTGGCCAACACGCAGGGACAGCCCCGTGGGTGACAGGCTAGGAATGTCCCCAAGCTATTCCCAGGGTCCAGGAGAGTCACTCAGAAGATCCAGTTTCCATCTCAAAGCCAACATAACCCCATCTACCTCCCGCACAGCGGTGGGGCTGATGCAGGTGTAGCTTTCCTGCCCTGAGCTGCATATGGTGGGCCCTGCTGGATGGGGTCTAGGTGGATGGAGAAGCTCAGGGAGAAAACACAGAATCACAGGATGGTCAAGCTTGGAAGGGACCTTCTGAGATCATCTAGTCCAACCCCCCTGCAAAAGCAGGTAACACCAGGAAGAACATGGCTAGGGCTCCCCAGGAGGATGGTGTTCAACTGAAAATATCCTGCATACCATCTTACAAGCTGTAGAGAGCCGAGGAGGTCTCTCAGGCTTGGCTCTCCTGTGGAGTGGAGCTCACCACCATCACCAGCAAATGCATTTTCTGCTGTGCTGGGTCAGAGCCGGAGCCTCCCAGGGGAAGAAGGCCAAGCTGCTGGCTGTTGGCCACGTTAGGAGATGTGCCAGCCAACCCCTTATCTCTCCGGCGTGAGAGAGGGCAGAGCCTTCTCCTCTGAGACCAGGGAGCTCCAGCCCAGCAGGTGCCCCCTGGCCCTACGTGTTGGAGTAGCTTGGTTTTGGCTTGAACTGCACAAAGACAGAAGCTCCCAAATTCGATCCAGAGCGACTCGTGCCATTTTCCAAAGGCGTGGATGAGTTTGGCCCTTGGCTGGCTGTCCTTGTGGCAGCTCAGCAGTGGGGACACAGCACAGCCAGCCAAGTGTCCCCCACATCTCACTAATACACCCCAGAGGGGAAGGGACCTTCTCCAAGGATCAAAGAGCTCCTTCGTCACAGCCCCCTCGAGCCTTACCTTCTGCTGGACACTGCCAGGGCTCAGAGCGCTGACCATACCTACTGACCAGGACTGGCGTGGTGACCATCAGCTGACTCCACTGAGTCTCTGGCTTTTATTTAATGTCAGCAAAGTCTGGATCTGAGCAGATAATCCTGATGGGAACGGTTCAGAGACCTGCTCCCAGTCCCAGAGTGTTACTTTGTGCTGCAATTAACTCCTCAAGGCCCCATTTTGACAACTCTGTCCACCTCTGCCTGGGGCCCTAGTCACTCATCTTCTGCCAGTCCCACCAGAGGCCTGAGGTTGTCCTCCATACCCAGGTCCTGCCTCTACAGGGCAGGCTCAGCCTGGCAAAAGACTCCTGTCCCATGGAAACTGGGGCTCAGCAGGTCTGGAGGTGATGCTGGCATTGCAAGGCTGCCTTGTGTTAAAGCTAGATGCCAGCGTGTGTCTGGGAGCTGGTGGGTGAAGGGGCCTCCTGGAAAGATCCCTCTGAGACATTGCTAGGAGAGGCACATCCCAGGGGATGGGAAAGAAATTGCAGAGTCATAGAATGGTTTGGGTTGGAAGGGACCTTCAAGATCATCAAGTTCCAACCCCCCTGCCATGGACAGGGACACCTCCCACCAGACCAAGTTGCTCAAAGCCCCATCCAGCCTGGCCTTGAACCCCTCCAGGGATGGGGCAGCCACAGCTTCTCTGGACAACCTGTTCCAGTGTCTCACCACCCTCACAGGTAGGAATTTGTTCCTCATATCTAATCTAAATCTCCCTCTTTCAGTTTAAAACCATTACCCCTCATCTTTCAGTTTAAAACGATTCCTCCTTGTAATGGCTCTCCTCCCTGATCAAGAGTCCCTCCCCATCTCTCCTGGAGCCCCTTTAGGGACTGGAAGGGGCTCTGAGGTCTCCCTGGAGCCTTCTCTTCTCCAGGTTGAACAACCCCACCTCTCAGCCTGTCTTCACAGCAGAGGTGCTCCAGCCCTCTGAGCATCTTCTTGGCCCTCGAAGGAAAAGGAGGCTCTTGGGAAGAGAGGAGGAGCCCAACCCCAGGGCTCTAACCTGGAGGGAGGGGGTCCCAGTAGTGGTATCCAAGGCGTTCCTTACCACTGCGCAGCCCGCCATGGCTGGAGAGCTGCAGGGCCCTCTCGGGGCAGTTCCAGCGGTCCCAGGCGAACTGGAACTTGCACTCCTCGATGCCGCTCTGGGCCCCGGCCGCCACGCTGCTGGAGTAGATGAGATAGGCCTAGGAGCAGAGCAGCAGGTCAGAGAGCTGGGCAAAACCGAGTCAGGATGTGTTGGCCAACACGCAGGGACAGCCCCGTGGGTGACAGGCTAGGATTGTCCCCGAGCTATTCCCAGGGTCCAGGATAGTCACTCAGAAGCTCCAGTTTCCATCTCAAAGCCAACATAACCTCATCTACCTCCTGCACAGTGGTGGGGCTGATGCAGGTGTAGCTTTCCTGCCCTGAGCTGCATATGGTGGGCCCTGCTGGATGGGGTCTAGGTGGATGGAGAAGCTCAGGGGGAAAACACAGAATCACAGGATGGTCAAGCTTGGAAGGGACCTTCTGAGATCATCTAGTCCAACCCCCCTGCAAAAGCAGGTAACACCAGGAAGAACATGGCCTAGGGCTCTCCAGGAGGTTGGTGTTCAACTAAAAATATCCTGCGTATCATCTTACAAGCTGTAGAGAGCCGAGGAGGTCTCTCAGGCTTGGCTCTCCTGTGGAGTGGAGCTCACCACCATCACCAGCAAATGCATTTTCTGCTGTGCTGGGTCAGAGCCGGAGCCTCCCAGGGGAAGAAGGCCAAGCTGCTGGCTGTTGGCCACGTTAGGAGATGTGCCAGCCAACCCCTTATCTCTCCGGCGTGAGAGAGGGCAGAGCCTTCTCCTCTGAGACCAGGGAGCTCCAGCCCAGCAGGTGCCCCCTCCTTCACCGCAGCCCCGGGGGGGGCAGGCAGTGCTTTGGGGCAAGGTTGCTCCACCATAGCATTGAGGGCTGTAGCAAGAGCTAGGTGGGCTTGGAGGCATTCCTGGGGAAGAAAAGTCGGGTGAATTTTACAACTGGTCCTGGCTAGGAACTAAAAGCCTATGAAAGAGGGGTGCAAGGAGGAAGGAGGGGTGTCAGAAATACTGAACAAGGTCCTGGCAATACCAGTTGTGCTTCTTGGGTATGTTCTGCAGGGCCTACAGAAAGTACCTTTCCAGCTCAATGAATGTTGGTCCTGATGCTAATCATCTGATCATCAGGAAGGAACAGATGACAGCACCTTAGCTGTGCAAGTGGACAAATCTCCAACATCTGGCCCCAACCAGCTTTAAAAGACCCCAGGCCAGTTTTGCCCAGGGCTGAAACAGCCCAAGGAGCTGCAGCTCGTAGCAAGTTTTTCCTGACCCTCCTCTGCCTCGTTGGATGAACCCTGGGGGTGAGGGGAGCTCTTGGCCAAAGCTGGATGGAGAGGAGTGGGAAGGAGGAGCCCCCCCACCCCTCCCCTTCCCTCCCTGGGTTTTAGTGGAATCAGGGACAGAGATCAAAGGGATTTCTCTTACCTTGGGGCCCGTCATCAGGAAATTATTCACTGACCTGGAAGACAGAGACAGTGTCAGCAGGGAGGGGGTGACGGCGGAGGGGCCTGGGGAATGCCAGGCATCCCAGGGCTCTCCTCTCACCCCCCGCAGCCTGCCTGGCTCCTGGCTGCAGGCACCTTTGGTCTCCCCCCCCTCTCCATCTCATCTCCCTGCCTTCTCCTTCCCCCCCACCACCCTGCTCCCCCAAACAGGCTGTACCTGGGGGGCTCCAACCCCCTCACCGCTCCCTCCTTTTTGCTTTTCCCTGCACGGCTGCCCTTCATTTTTGTAGCTCTTTTTTGTACCTCTCATTTGTGTAGCTCTTTCCTCTTCCCCCAACTTTGCTTTTTTTTTTGCTGCCCAGCTTAAACCAGGGTAGAATTTCCCCAGACCCAGGAGCTGGACCATGTGCCAGCATCACCCCCCCACCACGGGGACCACGCCGAGGGAAGGAGGTCACATCACTGCTCCTTCACAGGGGGTGTCCTGAGAGCATCACCCCGGACCACAGTCCCTTCTTCTCCCGTGGTGCCAGCTCTGGCTGCCCACCCTCCCCTCTTGGTGACAGTAAGGTGATGGCTGAGCACAAACACGCTCGTCCTCCCTATCCTGGTGGGCACTGCCTGGGGAGGAGTGGGGACATTTAAACTTTCTACAGTTTTCCAAGTGAAATATGAAAAAAACCCATAACGAGCTGTTTCCAAAGGTGCCCTCTTGCAGGTATTCCTGTGAAATGCCTAATTCTGCTGCTCTTCATGGAGAAATGTTGTACTGAAAACACCCAGGGTCTGGTTTTAGTAATCTGAAATTGCAGGCTCCTTAAACCTTCTGCTCTGGGGGTCTCCCGATCCCCATCTCCGTTCTGTAGGTCAGTAATTCCTACTTCTAGCACAGAAGGGGAAAAACTTAAAACACGGGCAAATGACAGGACCTCTACTGTTTGTTTATTTTTGAATGTAAGATTTTCACAGCCAGTTTCACACTCTTCTGGCCCCTGGTTTTTCCTTGCCTGTGGCTTTCCATGGCGTTAACCCATTCCTCCCACCTCCAGGTGGAAAATGCCCAGGGTCTGGTTTTAGTAATGTGAAATTGCAGGCTCCTCAAACCTTCTGCTCTGGGAGTCTCCTGATCCCCATCTCTGTTCCGTAGGTCAGTAATTCCTACTTCTGGCACAGAAGGGGAAAAACTTAAAAAACATGGGCAAATGAAAGGACCTCTACTGTTTGTTTATTTTTGAATGTAAGATTTTCACAGCCAGTTTCACACTCTTCTGGCCCCTGGTTTTTCCTTGCCTGTGGCTTTCCATGGCGTTAACCCATTCCTCCCACCTCCAGGTGGAAAAAAACGAAATAGCAAACTCTGGGAATGTGCAGGGAGGGGGCTGCTGAAGCAGAACCAAGGATTTTAGGAGGTCTCTAAAGGATCACCAAAGAAGCCCTCAACCTAATTGCTCCCTGGCCCAAGACCACCATTAGGAATTTGGAGGATGGCTGGGTGAATCCAGCTTAGCTGTGCCACGGCTTTAAAAAGACCCAAGAGCCAACCCAAACTATCCCTAGCCAGAAATGAAGCAAGAGGAGGGAGGTTTCTCCTACAAACACCTCATTCCAGTCTCTCAAGGTTTTGCAAAAATAACCTTCATCACTATTTCTGGTGCGTCTCAGGGATATCTTTCCTGCTGGGACCCCGGGACCCCAGAGAGATGGGTGAGAGCTGTTATCCCAAGGGAAGAACATTGAGGCCAGAGAGGTGGAAGGACTGGGTTGAGACCTTGCAGCGAGTGAGTGATTTGGGAAAAAGCCAGAGAGAAACTGGGCTCTTCAGCTTCTTCTCGAGACACTGTTCTGCTTCAAATGCTAGATGCCTCCCAGTGGAGGATGCCTCTCCTTTTTAGTTACCCCTTGCAGAGCCTTAACCCTCGCTCTCTCCCTCTCTCCACCCTGCAGCTGGGGCCATCAGGCATTCAGGGATGCTTTCTGCATTTCTAGCTCCTCTACACTCCCTGAAAATCCCAGTAACGGGGTGGACCTTCACTGGAGGTGGGGGGGGGAAAGGTGCAGGTTATGGTATGATTTTTCCTCCCCGTGTGTTTCCAAGCCATGCTGACTGGAGCCAGAGATGTCCCTGGTTATGGAGAGACACAAATTCAGCTACAAATTCATCACGGGGGCATTCCTGGGTGGGCTCAAGCATGGCCAAAAGCAGGCTTTGCCATCCCAAACTGGGGGACAAAGTGTGGCCCTGCCATGGACACTGGGGCAGACAGGGTATAGCCTGGTGGAAACCTCCGAACACCTGGACTTTGCTATTACTCATGGTTTAGGAAGAATTGAGAGAACTATTTGGCAAAGTTTCGCTCTGTCAAGTCTAACTTTTCTCTTTTTTTTTGGTGGAAATGTGTCCATATTGATGAATCTTGTGCTGGGAAAGATTTTCCTGGGTTAAAACTGGAAGGAAAGGGCTGTGGCAGGACATTGAGAGAGCAGGAGATCCCTTCCCTTTGTTCCAGCCCTGGGATTCCAACTCGGCTGCGCTCCAGCCCCCATGGGTACTTTAGCACGAAGTCGACGGCTGGTTTTTGGTGGTTTTTTGGTGGTTTTTTTTGGTTTTTTTTTCTTTGCAGAGGAATTTTCCTTTGGGAGCTGCTTCTGCATTGTACAGCTAATTAAATATTTCCTGGGACTTGGAGAGACGGCATCTGTAGCCGGGTGATTAGAGCATCGGGTGACCTGAATCACACAGGGCCATGAACCTGGGGCTATTCAGCCTGTGTAAGCTCCGTGGGTCTCCCCGTCCCAACCCAACTGGGTAGCGGCACGAACAAGTCATTTTTCCATCTGGTTTCCCATTTTCCCTGGTTTCTTTTCCTTTGCCTTGACCTGAAACGCTTTGCTTTGGGGACCACACTGGGGCTGGCGTCGGTGTGAATCCGAGCCCCTGGCAGCAGCCGTGAGAAAATGGGTAAAACACCCCTGTTTAGGAAAAATCTAGAGAATTTGCAAGCCCTCGCTTATCTTGCTTTTTTTTTTTTTTCCCCTTTTCTTATTGTTGCTTCCCACCTGGGTGGGAAAAGCCAAATTTGCCCTGCGCAAGAAGGGTTTGCCTCAAACCCTCACTGAGGGGTTGCAGGGGCAGCTTAAGGAGGAGGAGAGTAATCCCCAAACTCAGGGTTTTACAACCAAAACAGCCTGTGGGCATCACTGCATTGAAGCAGAGGATTCTGCTCCTCCCGGGATAAACCTCAAAGTTCAGAAAAAGGCCGAGTTCAGGATATGCCAACTCACCCTCTGCAGCTGAGCAAATGGTACAGTAGCAATTTCCCAGCGGGATATTCTAAATATTTTTATTAAGTCGGAGAGGCAGGAGGCATTTTCCCTCAGCGGGCACACTGCTGGGCAGGTTTGGAGGACTTAGACAAGGAAAGGAGTCATTGAGATGGGTCCACTTGACTCCCCCTCTCCCCCCCTCATTTAACTCTTACAGCCACGAGTGGATTCAGGAGAAGGGGAGATGGGACGATTTGATTATTGGGCTGCTGCCGTGTGGCTGGGATTTTTCTTATTTAAGCTCCAAGGGAAAGAAAGATAATAATGGAGACAAACTCTCTGCCTTCTGTCTTTGCCCATATGATCTAGCTAAGAAGAAAAAAAAAAATCTCTCTATTTTGAATACAGTTTCCAGCAAGGACAGAGGGTAATTCAGCCGCTTGTTCCTCGGATGTAGTGACAAAGCTGCTCCAGTCATCTCTGTGCTGCGAAGAGGAATCACTGTGAAAACGAATCTCTCTTTGTTTTTGTCTCTGTAGTGTGACTTTTTATGAATTTATTTATTTTTACTGGTTTTCCATATTACTGTAAATCCCTAAACTATCCAGCTGCATCCAGGATGGGTGTAAAGCAGCCCAATTCCCACGACTTCGGTGTCACCCACCAGCATTTAAAACTTTTTGAAATCACACCCAGGAAAGGAAACCCTTGAAATTATTTCTCTTCTCCAACAAAGCTGACAGGGTTTTCTAGCTACCTAAACCTCTTGCCCTCCACCTTCAAACTCCGGGAGAGGGTAACACGGACCGAAGCAGAGCAGAGAGGGATCTGTTGAGGTTCCCCCAGCCCCATCCCCAGCCCGTGGAGGGTCCAGGGCAGGACACGCTGCTCCCTCCCTGCGACTCTGTGCAACCAGGTAAAAAGCAAATCAAGGGTTTCTCATTGCATCCGATATTAGGAAATTCTCTCAAAGCTAATGACTATCTACAGCAGGAGTTCTCTACCCTGGCTTTATTGAATCCAAACCCAAATAACCCTGCCAAGCACCTGTCCCATTGTATTTTACAGGTATCAAATACTAATAAACCTCTGATAATTTCTGTTCAGTTACAACGATAACAAATAACAGCACCCCGCTCCTCAGTTCAATACGCCCCAAAAGCTTTATCAAATCCCCCATTAAAGTATTTGTTTGATACCTTCTCACCCACTCAAGCTACGGGGCTGCTGGTTCAGATCTCTGGATAAATGAGAAAACTATATTTACATCTTTCCTATCGTTATTGTAAATACAGAAAATGGGTACAAACGCACTTTGGATCTGAATTCGTTTTCAAGTACAAACTCCCCCAACTTTTTAGAAAACCAGTGACATTGGAAAGGAAAGGCAATCTCACAGCTGAAGTGTAAAAGAAAACATTGAGAAACAAGCTGCTGCATTAGTGATTTTTACATTATTCCCACAGGATAAGAGACAGGGAGGAGACGGGGAGGCAACTTGTTAACATTTGGAGCTTAGCTTTTTTTTTTTCTTCTTCTATTTTGCTACATTTATTTGTTTTTTAAGTCCTGAGTGCAACCCTGACATTTTGCTTATCTGGAAACACACTGACCATTCAACCTCGCTGACACGGCAGAATCTAATCCACACTCAGAGAAGGGAAGTGGCCACATATATATATATTTAAAAAAAATTATTGTTGATCTATATTGCCCCCCACTCCCAATTCTCACGATTAAATCACAGAACGGAAGAATCTTGTTGTGTTTTAAGCTGTTGGATCAGATAAAGAGCATCAAAAACTGCAAGCAGAATTTTTGCCCTATTCCCACACATTTTGCTTTTTTCTCTCCTCAAGAGTTAAGGGACAGGGTCTGTAGTGCGATTGTTTTGCAGAAAGTTTGCAATTTTCCTTTCTCTCAGGAAATTATGACCTATGAGTAATACACAGAGAGAAGCAGGGCTGTCTCCATCTCTAAACTTTTCTCTTAGATAAAAACTTCTAAAAGGCAGACAGGGGGATTTAGACATCTGACTTCCATTGAAAACGCCTGGGATTTCTGTACTTAACTCTAATTTGTGTCCTGAAATTTCTCCCCTTTCAAGTGTTTCTTTAGAATATTGATTTCTTTTTCCTTATCTTTTAATGTTTTCTAAACCTGTGTATATTGAGGAAAGTGAGAGACATACACAGGAAGAGCAGAAAAAGAAAAATAAAATCAGCATGAGCTCTTCCCTAACTTCTCTACATAAGATAAATATCCCCCATGTTCCAGAAGGGAGATTTACCTTGAGTTTGCTACTGTATAATATTTAGACATATACAAGTTGTTGTACATTCTTTTAATGAAGATAATAGAAAAATCTCTGTAAGAACAAGAATTTCACTCCCAGCCTAAGAGGACTGAGTTCCCAATTACCCCTGAGTTTCTCTTTCTGGGATTTTGGGTTTCTCCATCCCTGGTAATAACCCCAGAGATCTGCTGTGGGGGAGGCAGGGGATTTTAGTCATTGAACAGGAAAAGACTTTCCTCGCTGTTAGAGATAAGTCTCTGTATAATATTTAGACATAAACAAGTTGTTGTACATTCTTTTAATGAAGATAATAGAAAAATCTCTGTAAGAACAAGAATTTCACTCCCAGCCTAAGAGGACTGAGTTCCCAATTACCCCTGAGTTTCTCTTTCTGGGATTTTGGGTTTCTCCATCCCTGGTAATAACCCCAGAGATCTGCTGTGGGGGAGGCAGGGGATTTTAGTCATTGAACAGGAAAAGACTTTCCTCGCTGTTAGAGATAAGTCTGTAACCCACTGAGCAGATTCCCCGGGGCATTACAGGAATGGAGAATAAAATTGGGGTTTTCAGTAAAAATCACGTAGGAAAAAATGCCTACGGAGCCAGGTCATTTGAGTCCATCTCCGTTTGAGTGTGGGATAGACACACTCTGCAAGGAATGATGCGGGATTTGATGCAAGTGTAATCTCTTTCTGCTCACCCTTATACAACATTTCTGGAAATCAACCTAAAACCACCCTTAGGACAGAGCAAAAAGGTCCCTCCAAGAGATGACAGCACTGGGGGGACTGGTCTGACGGGACCGAGGTGGTTGGGAACCAACCGAGCCGTAGCAATCTCCGTACCAAAAGCATCTCCCCAGGAAATCCTAATACCTGGATTTCGGACGTGTAATCCTGACCCTGCACCCGCCTGGGAGTGCGGGGGCTCCGGCTGCTCATCCGGAGCGAGTGATGCTCCTGTGGATCTAACTCACCCCTGCTGGCTCTGAGCTCTTAATCAGGGACTGTCCTCTTCGGGGAGCACGGGAGAAGCCTCACTTGATTTGATTAAGATGAGAGACAAGCGGAATGTGAGCCTTTGGGAAAGAAACAGCAAGCCCTGGCTCTGCCATTGGGTTATCTTCCCAGTTGGAAATGAGGGGTTAGATCTTTCACTCTCCTCTCCTCTGTTTTTACCCCAGCTCAGGATTTGGCCCACAGAGTTACTGCTGGGGGAAGAAGGGGAATTTCTCTGCTCGGATCTAACCTCTCTTGCCAATAAGTGTGTTGGGACTTAGTTAAATGTCTGGTCCCATTAAAGACCAGAACTAAGCTAAGTGGAAAAGAAGGGACATTTAGGAAGGTGAAGAGGAATTTCCTTAGGGTGTCCGGGAAGAGCACCTGCCTGGGACACAGACTGAGGTGCTCTTGATACTCACCAGGCACAGCAGGATTGGAAGAAGGGAGTGAGGAAGAAGATGCCCAGATAAGGGTCCATGTGAAATATAAAATCCAAATAAAGAGAGAGAAAGGATATCCTAAAAAAAAAAAAAAAACAAACCACCTTGGGTACCACCACCACCAGCGAAAAGAAATAAAATAAAAAAAAAGAAAAAGAAAAGAAACCCAACAAAATTAGGGAAGGGATGGAGTTATTTTCCACCCGGCGCTCCTGGTGTGATGAAGAGGTGTATGCCCCCTGAATCCCAACTTCTGCAAAGGGTAACCAATCCCAAAGTAAGAGCTAAAGGGGGTTGGTGAAATGGAGCCGCAGAACTTCCTAAGAAGAGATTATCTACTTAATTAAAGATTTTTTTTTTCCCCTAAGTCCTTCAGCCAATCAGGACTCAAGTGCCAGAGAGAGATTGAACTGATGAAAAGAACACCCCAGGTTCCTCGAAGACAAATGCACCACGAAAGGGATAAGAGGGAGGGAAAAGGGGAAAACAAAAAAAAAAAAAAAAAAAAAAAAAAAAAAAAAAAAAAAAAAAAAAAAAAGAAAAAGAGAGAGAGGGATAAAGAAAGAGACAGCAAATCCCTTAAAGTAATCACTAGGTTCAATCTCCACCAGCACTGCCCTGCCTCTCCATCCCCCGCCAAGGCAACTGGAAGGGCTGCTTTTGGTGTGCCCTCACCTTCTCCTGCCTTTGGAGACACCTCTGGGGCTGGGGTGCGCTGGGTGCCCCGGGATGGGGGGCTTGGGTTTGGGCCACCAGACCCTGCTTCTTGGTGGCCAAGGCAGCATGGTCTGGGGATAAGGCTGGGAACCAGATTTGTGAACATCACCTCTGCCTCAGACCCCCCCAGGAGTTTAAGGGGAACTGAGGCCAGTTCCTACCTCCATCTGCTCCTCCTTCATCATGGTGACCTGCTCTTTCCTCCCACCTCCTCTTTGCCACACACCACCCTCACCCCAGGAGAAAGGCCTCTGACTAAACTTTCCCTTTCCCCCTTAATTTTTTGGCTTTTGAGGTTTCCTACGAAGCCCAGAGGAGGGTGTCTTTGATTTGGGAGATCAGTGGTCTCTCAATGAGGGTTTATCCCAGAGCTGCTGGAGCTACTTAGAAGTGCATCCAGCCTGCGCCTCCTGGGCATGCGGGACATCCCAGTTTCTGTCACACCACCCACCACAGCCACTTTGATCAGTCCCAGGACAACAGGACCAGCCATGCTGCCCTGTCCCAGAGCCATAGGAGCATCTTCTCCTCACTGCACAGCTCATTTTCATGCTGCTGTGGACATAATCAGCTAAAACACAGGCTGAGACCCATCCAACTCATTTCATCGAGGGTCCAGCTGCCAGGCAGAAGAGCTCGACCAGGGCAAGACCCTGTGACTGGGCCATCAGGAGGCTGAGCTTCTCTCAGGGCTACCTCAGGTGGATGAAATGTCCTTTTTGTGTCATGGAACCTCGAGGAGGGAAACCTGCCCAGCAGAGATTTGCTCTCAGGGGGACTTTGGCCATGCCAAGATGGACTCTGGCCGGGCAAAACTTCATGGTTGCCCCATGCCATGCCCTCCCAGCTGGCAGGGGTGGCCAGGTGGCTTGCAATCATCGAGGTGAGGAGAAAATGCAGCCACCATCAAGGGAACCCAGGGCCCAGCTGTGCCTCCCAGCTGCATCCCATTACAGCAAGGCTGAGGGCATTTGCACTAATTAAAACCCCAGCTCCTGGAGCCGTGAGCATTTTAAAAACTGAGGTCTTAAAAACTGAGAAAAAAAAGTTTGAAGATTTATCTAGTAGAAGATAAACCCCAGGAACTTGAAGGTGAGGGAAATAAGCCTTTATTTATTTTAATTATTCATTATATTGAAATAGAATTTCGATGCTGTGACGTTTAGCACAATGTAATGGTTTTGGGGGCTGAATTCAAATACTGGGGGTGGCTGTGTCCCCCACCCCTGCCAGAAGAGGCTGTCCTGGGGGAGATGAGGGGCTGCTGGGGGCTCAGCCCTTGTTGGGGGGCACTGGTGGGACGTAGGGGATGCTGCCACCCTGTACTTGGCTTTCATTTCCCATGGTAGAAAGAATAATAATAATAATAATAATTTCCAGTTGTTTCTTGTAAGTTTCCAAACGTCTGTTTCAGGACTCTTGGACTCGAATTGTCTCATTCCTCAGGCCCAGCAGCGACAGCGTTTTTCATGGTAGAAAGAATAATAATAATAATCATTTCCAGTTGTTTCTTGTAAGTTTCCAAACGTCTGTTTCAGGACTCTTGGACTCGAATTGTCTCATTCCTCAGGCCCAGCAGCGACAGCGTTTTGAAATCACACAACTCTTCAGGCACGTCTTGACCAACTGGGAAGGAAGGACACCACTGGGTGTTTGCCGGGGTGAGCTATTTTTGTTTATTCTGAGACAAATTAAGTAAGGGGATTGCAAAAAAAAAAAAAAAAAAAAGGGCAAAAATACAATTGTAGGCGGATCCAAAATAAAGAGGAGGAATTTAATCTTTTATTATTAGCTGTCACAAGAGGCAGCCAGGCCTTCCTCCAAGCTTGCAGAAGCACCACCAGCACCAGGGCATTTTGGAGCCAGCAGCCTCCCCAGTCAACTTCTAATTTCAATTAAATGCAACAGTCGCTTTCCTGGAAGCAGGCGTGTTTTCCAAGCCAAAGGGGCTGGAGGCGAAGCCTGCAACAAAACTGTCCCAAACATGTTTCAAAGCACTTAATTACAGCTCTCAAAGGCTGTTTAATAGGCTCTATGAGGTACTCGCTGAAGAAATGGGATGCAAAATTGCTTTATAATGCCCTTCAAATTTTGTTATTGTTACCGACAAAAGCTCTGTAAATTTTCTAAAATGAGCCCAGAGAGCATTAAAATACAATATTTTTTTTATGGCCAGAAGGACTGGTAAATTATCCCATATGACATGTTGGCCAATACAGCTCTCTCCTGACCTTTGCATTGAGTGCTGTAATGTGTGTTTGACTATTTGCTCATCTCCCAGAACAGCAGACAGGGTCTAAGGACAACAGAAAAGTGGGAACCTACCACCATCTGAGGTAATTTGTTTAAAAAAAACCCAACCCAAAAAAAAAGAAATAAAAAAACCCAAAACAAAACCCCAAAACCAAACCAAAACCCATGAATATAAGATGCTGAGGTTTAATTTCCAGAGTACAGAGAAGATCTGATCTGTCCTTAAAGGGCTTTGTACAAGTAATCCCAGAAAGAGTAAAAGATAAAGCCCCTAATGCTTTTGCTGTCTTTCACCCTGGTGCCAATGCAACTGATGGATGTGAAAAATGAGGTTAAGAAGTGGGTGTAAAAATTCCAAGTCTGGCTCCCAGATATCTCCAAAGTTTCTTGGTGTCAATGCAAAATGCTCAAAGGACAGGTTTTTTTTTTTAAAAGCCATTAAAAAGGTTAAGAAGAAATTTAAAGTCTCTTATTTTAAAAGATACACAAAAGGTATAAGATCAAAATAAAAAGAAATTAATCTTGTCTAGGAAATACATAGAATTCAACCCTTAAAGAGCTGAAAAGGTCTCAGGAAATAGATTTCAGCTGACCTGGCTGCAGCTTTGCCTTTTGCACCAGCTGCGTAGTATTTAATGCCTGTTAAAACATCCCCCAGCACCCCAAAACAGTGTAAGTGTTGCTTGCAATCCCGCACAGAGAACATGCCCTGTGTTATTCCGCTCCTCCAGTCAAGTGGTTCCAAAAACAGAGCCAGACAAAAGCCGGGGAAATCTAATAGCTTTTATTAGACCAACTGATAGGCATTGGGAAAAGCAAACAGGTTTTTTGAGCACTTTGGCTTGGAAAAGGCAGGAAAGGTGCTGGTGTGCCCAGAAGCCTGTCTGTTTATTTTTATTTTTATTTTTTTTAGCTATAAAGCTCTGTGAATGTGCCATTAGAGATGATGTTGACACAGGGGGGCATGCAAAGCGCCGGGTGACCTCTTTGCTGTTGCCTCTGTGTTCCCTTGCGCTGCTCTGGGCACGGGTGATGTTGGTGGAGCAGCCTCCTGTGAGGTCTGAGGTGCTTGAGAAGTGGGGAACGTACCCTCATGTTGGCAGGTTCTCCTCATGGTTCATGCGGGGACACTTGGGGAAATCCTTGCCACCAGACAGATGCATCCAGTCCACCCAGTGAAAACTATTTCACATCAGAAGGGGCAGAAATGTCACAATGGCTGTGGAGGATTGGTTCAAGGTGTAGACATGTATGTAAAGGGTGGGTTGAAGGTCGATGGAGCCAGACTCTTCAGTGGTTCAGTGACAGGACGAGGGGCAACAGGCACAAGCTGGAACATGGGAAGTTCAATTAAAATAAGAGGAAAAACTTCTTTGCGGTGAGGGTGCCAGAGACCTGGAACAGGTTGACCAGGGAGGGTGTAGAGTCCCCTTCTCTGGAGACCTTCAAGACCCACCTGGATGCCATCCCAAGGCAAAACTGAGGCCCGGAGGTGGGCAGCAGTCTGGGGGTAGATCCAGCCCCCTGTGCTCTAGGCTGGCCACAGCCCCCATCTGACCAGCCTGATGTTCAAGGCAGCCAGTGTCAAGGGAAAGGCAAAGGTCTTCAGGGAAACATCCTCTTTATGGTACGTAGAAGTTGCCTGTGCCCTGGAGCAAGTGAGCTTAGAGCACTTCAAAAGCTCTGGTTCATCCTTAGCCTGGGCTACGATAATTCCTTTATCACACATTCTTAATTGCAGAACTACAGGATATTGCCTTGGAATGGTCTTGACTTGCCATGTCAGCGACTTGCCCAGGCTCATGTTGTGTTGGCCAAAAGAGCGTTTCTTTTGAGAGGCCAGAAAACAAGTACTGGTCCAGGAGCATCCTTTTCCAGGGGGCTGGGAGAGGGAAGGGGACAAGTGTTGAGAGCTGGGGTATCTGGTGATGAAAATCAAAGGAAAGTGAGGAGTTGGTGTGGCATCAAAGGAGAAGCAGGAGAAAAGGGACCGTGAGGGTGGGAGGGGAATCGTGTACAGCATTCCAGGAAGGTGTAATTAGGATGAGCAGGACTGAGCGAGTCAAAGCACATTCCTGGGTGGCTGGTGAGGAGGTGAGATAACCCTGGAGGTGAGAGGGACCATGCTGAGCTCCCCAGGTCTAGCAACATACCCTGGCCGCTTCCCAGCCACACCTCGCTCTTGTCCCCAAGCACCTTGAAGGAACTACAGGCTCCCATGAGGAGTGGTGGCAGATACAGTGGTCCCCAGCATGGCCCTTTATGGACCAGGAGCCCAGGCCACATGCCACTGCTCATCCTGGGCATGGCCACCATCCTTCAGAGAGCCTTTCTTGGGCCACCACAGACAAGCTGAGGGGAGTAAATGTCACAGGCATCGACACGGGTGGCTCTGCAAAAGGAGAGTGTCTTCAGCGTCCATTAGGGCTTTGCCTCTCAAGGGGGAAACGTGCTTGGCCCCTGCATGTGAAGATTTGAGGCATGGGGGGGAAAAAAAGAAAAGGAAATAAAAAAAAAAAAAAAAAAGGGAGGGAGTGGAAAAAAGGAAAAAGTCAGGCAGAGATTTCCTTCTGTACTGACCAGAAGGATTAGTAGCTGGAGGAGGAAAGGGCTATGGGTCTGAGAGGTGCGCGGAGCTCAGTGGAGCAGAGGATGAGGCAGCTAAAGCAGGAGGAGGGCTCAGCATCACAGTGTGAATACTTGCTGGTTTGGGTTTTTGGCAGACCTGAGGAACCCAAGAAAAACCTGCGTGGGAGCTGCTTAAATGGTTCTGCTCTTGCACCAAAGACAGACTTTTTGTTTCCCTTTCAGGGTCTGTGTTCCCCTCGATATTATTATCAGGAATATTTGGAAAGAAAACCGCATTTGAAACTGAAGAAAATCAAGCCCTTTTATTAAGAAAACTGCCCCGTGACACGCTTTGATCTTTTTTTAGCTGAAACTGCCTGCGAGCTCTGCAGGAGCTGTAAATAGCTCCAGCCCATTTACAACTGGAAATCCTTCACCCGAGTGGTTGTTTTTTTTGCTGGGCTCTAGGGTAGAGAGAGGGATTGGTTTGGAATCCCTTTTGTAACGAGGACGGGAGGAGGTTTAGCTGAGGGTTTTCTGAGATCCTGTGATCTTTTTTTCATCCCTAATTTGCCAGGCAGTGTGCTGGCCGTGCAGCAGCATAGGCAGCTCCAAATTACCCTGTAATTTATCCCTCCAGTGAGCCCTCTCGCTGTTCCACAGCCGGCAGAT